AAAAAAAAAAAAAGGAGGGGAACACAATGGCAGCTGAAATGAATTTCCAAAGGACACAGCATGATAGGTTTGGCATTTGGGAGGAGAGCTATGCTTGTCTCACTTGGGTCTTGGTCCAGGGTCTTGGTTTTCTTCTCCATATCCTTTGACTTTGTTTTATTCTCTCTGGGCTTAGTTCATAGGCAGGGCCTCTCTTTGTTCATATTATGATGCCAGAAATTCCATTTTTACTCAATTTTATCAGAAATTCTAGTGAGAAAAATTATGTTGCAGCAAAACTCCAGGACTGAGATTTATTGGTCTGATTGGCCTGAATGGACTCATGTGACAGGAGACTACGCTATGTTTGGCCTGGTGTAGCTTACATGCTTTTCCCTAGATCTGGACAAGATGTTATCTCTACCTAAAGCAAAATTGACTAAATGAGAGAGACATCACCCCTCCCAAGAGAGAATGAGGAAGGTGTTACCTAAAGATGGGAGATCAATGCCAGCCTAGCAAGAACAGCAAGTGTTCGTGAACGAGCACTCCACTTTCAGAGTGCTCCCTAGAGCTCTTCTCCGGGACATAAATCTCACACAAGGTGCTATTGACTCAACAAAGAAAGGAGCCAAGCCTTTGGGAGGGACTCCGCTACAAGAATCATGTGATCATTAACATCAGTTAAACAGGCCACCATGGAAGCCATTTCTAGGAAACCAAACTCATTTCTTCACTGATTCATTTGGCAAATATTTATTTTAGCACCTACCATGTATCAATTCAGTGTTAATTTAGTGGCCGATGTCCTAGGTGCTAAGGACATGACAGTCATTCCCATCCAATCTTGCCTTCTGGTTTAACCTTTTGAAGGCGCTAATGAATTGCCTGAAATGCCTCTGATGCACCCTGGCTGTCCACGGGCCATGCATGTGTTTATTTACAATTGGAATGGCTCATTGCTGCTCTGGCTGGCTGGGCTGTAATTTGCTCAGGCACTTAAGCTAACTATAAAAAAAAAAAAAAAAAAAAAAGCACTGCTTCTTCACTAGCCTTAATTTGGCTGTTATGTTTGTATTGGAGATTGTCTGGATGGTGCATTCAACTTAAATGCAGCAGAAATGTAAAATAGAGTATGTGAAAGAAAATAGGTAAGAATTGCTAATAAATCCCCTCTGATGAGGACAGTCAAGTGGCCCTTGAATGAATTTGCATAACCTAATTTTCCACCATAGCATCCTTGCTGTTACCCATCCCACATGTTCAAATCTCTCTAAAATAGAGTATCATTGTAGTTGTATTTGCATAATACTCACTTGTAATTTTATTTGCATCTTCTAAGGAATTTTAGTCAGAAACATTTTAGAGCCTGATATCATGGAATCCTGTGACCAAAGATGTAAATTACTGAATGAGTGTTCATCCATTGAACATATATTGATTAACTCACGTCCCAGGCACTGTTTTGAGAGTATTCTTGAGCCAGACAGAGATACTGAGGTCGACTAGCCATGCAACATGCAATGCCTGCAAATTGGAGGTGAATTAGCAAAATAAAACCGGCCACAGTGGATGCAGGTCAGAACCAGTATGAAGCAATTTCAACTGGTTGGAATCAATAGGAGCCCTGTGAGCCTGTTAGAACTGGTGTCACGTAGTTTCAGTTTCAGTTGGTTTTGGTTTCAGTTCTTTGAAGAAGTCAGACCAGGATTCAGTCAGTTTTAGTTTCACTTGGTTTGAATATGCCAGAACTGTTTGGAAATGATTTTATCCGTTTGGAGCCACTTGTAGGCAGTGTAAGTTGGTTTCACCTTCAGCAGGCTTTCAGTTGATTTTGTTTCATTTCTTTGAAGAAGTTGGAGCCAGTTGGAACTGGTATGAACCAGTCAGAACCAGTTTCAGCTGGTTGGAACAGGTCTGAACTGGTATCAACCAGTTTGAACCAGTGGGAACCGGTTTGAACCAGTTCGGACCAGTCAGAATCTTGACAAGATTTATTAGTGTCTTATTTTTAGTGACTTTGATCCCACAAATTCACTAATATTCTTCTCATTCATTATCCTATTGTGGTTAAGCATATAGGGCCTGAGCTCATATAAGATCTGAGTCTGATCTAGAGTCTCCACTTAGCAACATCACCAGCCATATAGGCATGGCCAGGTTACTAACCCCTCAAGGATGCAACTTCTTTATTTGCAAAATGGAAATATTAGTCATATCCAAATCAAGGTTATTTTGTGAGATTAAATAAGAAAATGCATGTAAAATTTTTAAGATATTGCTTGGCACATAACACTCAATATACATTAAGTGATTGATAGTCTTTTATTCATAGAAATCACATTTATTGAGCACCTAATATGTTCTACAGGCGCTCCTAAGGGAGGGAAACAAAAAGTTTCTGAGCTGATAAGAATGAAAAAAAGGAGCCTCCCCGGTGGCGCAGCGGTTGAGCGCTGGGTTGCGAAGCTGCCCACAGCCTCTACAGCACTGGTTCAATGCCCGGCCGCCGGGCTAGGGTCCCACATGGCGCGCAGACCTCTCCTGCCGCCCGCTGCTCCCCTCAGCAGTGTACTTCGGTCCTTCTGCCTGCTCTGCTCCCCGCTCTGGCTCTGGTGAATTCTCTCACCCTCTGGCGCTTCTGACTGTACCCAGTACTTGTATAAATAATAAATAAATAAATAAATCTTTAAAAAAAAAAAGAATAAAAAAGGACTATAACAAAAATCATGAATGAGAATATGTTAGCACAGTAAGAGCATCAAAATGTTTTAACAAAAAGAAAAAATCATATTAAAGTCTATTCAAAAGGATAAATTTACCTAAATTCATTTTTTTAAACATAAAGGCCAGAATTTGCATCCATACCACTAAATCCTTAATAGGTGCTTGTTAATTTATGCTCAGTCTAGCTCAACATTTTTTTTCATCATCAAGTGATGAATTTGAGTGTGGTATATTAAGCTTTTATATTGGGAAATTCAGCTCAAAAAGATTTGTCTTCTCAGAGGCCTGAGTTCTCTGCTCTGATATATCATTTCTGCATCTCATCCATTATTGAGCTTTTACATGAGGCACCAACCTCTGGAAATAAAAACAAAACTACATCATTCTGATCTTTTTTTTTTGTCAATACAGTTTTTAGAGTACAAGAGATTCTTGTGTTCTGTGGAATTCATTTTGAAGCTCCCTGTCTTTGAAAACAAATGGCAGGGATGCCAAACAACCCAGCTCACCGACGTCGTGGAAGAAACGCGGGCGCTTGTCTAATTTTAAATTCTGAAGTGCAGATGTCACGTAATGAAAGTATCAGCAGTTACTTAAATGTGGTTAAATATGGAAAGTCTGCATAAAGTCGATGTTTATTTGCAGCCAGTGGCAGTGATAAGGGCAGGAGCCCTCCTTTTAAGTGGCTTTCAGTCTGTTGTTAATAGGCTGATGGATGGATCAGTTCGAGGCTGGTCACAAGGTTGAGGCTCATCCTCTGTAATGGAACTCGTTCATTAGTCTCGTGGAGAGAGAGAGGGAGGGAAAGAGAGGGACAGAGAGAGGGACAGACAGAGAGACCACGTGCCCTGTCGATTCCAGAGCAGCCTCTTTTGCTGGTGAGATGAGGCAATAGCAGGTGCCTTTGACCTGAATCAAGAGTGGAAACGTAGGGCCTCCCCGGTGGCGCAGCGGTTGAGTGCTGGGTTGCGAGGCTGCGCGCGGCCTCTGCGGCGCCGGTTCGATCCCCGGCTGCTCCCTGGCCACCGGAGGAGGGTCCCACATGGCGCGCAGACCTCTCCTGCCGCCCGCTGCTCCCCTCAGCAGTGTACTTCGGTCCTTCTGCCTGCTCTGCTCCCTGCTCTGGCTCTGGTGAATTCTCTCACCCTCCCGCGCTTCTGACTGTACCCAGTGCATGTACAAACAAACAAACCAGCAAACAAATAAATAAAGCATGCCTCTATTAAAAAAAAAAAAAAAAAAAAAAAAAAAAAAAAAAAAAGTGGAAACGTAGAGACCCAAGAATGTCATGACAAGAAGGGATCCTGGCCATCACCTAATCCAACCCCTATATTTCTAGATGAGGAAATTTCTGTATGAAAAAATATACCAGCATTTAGAAATCAATGAACATTTGTTTACTTTCTACTTGAAACAGCGGGTTGCAAATTGACCTTAAGGTGATTCCTTCATAAGATTTCAACGATCAAGGTTCTTTATCAGCTGGATACTACTCTTCTCTCTCCTCCCCTCCCCTTCCTTTCCCCTGGTCTCTCTTCTCTCCCTTTCCCTCCAGGTCCCCAGAAATCCAGTTGTAGTTCAAAACTGCACAGACTCTAGCTCACACAGCTGCCTCTCAGGTCGGCCAGGAATGCTGACAAATGTATGTCTTCAATCCAAAGAGGCTTGGGTTTAAAAGAATATTTCTGTCTTGTCAATGTCCACATGCTTGGGAGCCATCCTTAAAGATACCAGAAGAAGATAAGGAAGATCACAAATACTAAGATGATGGCCTGAATGTAGGGTCCTGTCTCCCCATATCTATAGGGAGAAGCCCCAATCTCCAATGGGATGGCAATCAAACTTTGGGTGTTGATTAGATCATGGGGGTGAGGTCCCCATGGTGGAGTTAATGGCCTTACTTTAAAAAATGGAAGAGACAGGTGAGCTCTCTCTACTGGGCACAAGTATAAAGAACACATGAATGTACTTGCCTTACTAGTGGGAAGTAGGCTCTGACCACTAGCTGAATCTGCTGGCACATTGATCTTTATTTCACTCACTCACTCACTCTCTCACTCACTCAGTAAACATTTACTGAGCACCCCTCTGAGCCAGGCCTGTGTCAGACTGGCCCTGGCAGCCTAGAAATCAAGTAAAATCCCTGCCTAGGAGGTTAGTGCCCTAATGAAACCATCTATACAGTTATCTTCAGAGGTTCTTTGCCACCCTCAGACTCTTTATAAATAGGAAGTTTCCCTTGAAATCAAGCTTAGCAATAACTGCTTGATGGAGACAGTTTCTTTTTTCAAAACAGAAGATTCTCTTTTAATCAAGAGAGGGCCTTTCCACAATCTGAAAGCTTTACACATTTTGTGAGTTTTTAGGGTAATTCGCAGATCAGTGGTCTAATACAGGGCTCTCAAAGACAAGGCTGTGACTTTAAATAGTGTGAAGACCCCAATATAGCTGGATTCACAGGGGCAATTTGAATATTGATCATGAATTTTCAAATGGTCTTGGAAAGTGCAGCCTGGTTCTAGTTGAGATTTCCAATTAACTTGGACTGTTCAAAGCAGCTCTATGCCTAGGAAAGAGAATGCATTAAAATTTTGCAAAGGGCTTTATCTCCTGAAACAGAAAACATAAATGGTAGGGGAGGGGGGTAAGGTAGAAAAGAATCAAAGTTACTGAATATGGAAATCAGCACTTTGGGATTTATAAGGACCACATCCTGCTACTCCCTGCTATGCAAGGAAGCTTTCAGAGGTAATGAGGCAAGTTCCAGTGTCAAATGTCTGTCTTGCTTTATATTTATGTGTACTCTTGTCCTGGTCCTCCTGCTGGTTGGGTACACACGCAGCCCAGGCAGAGATGGTGTCTGACATGGCCTTCCAGTCCCCTGGGGGGAACCTTGCACACAGCAGATGCTTAATGCACTCCGGTAACACTGAACTGAAGAGAAAAGACACCCCAGGAGAGCGTAGGGATGCAAAGAGCTTTCCCTCTTATCTGTTCTCTGCTCTGAATTGCAGGCACAGCATCCTCTCTGAGACCAGGGCTCAGACTTCTTCCCTGTTGATTGGGAAGAGAAACTAGTCCTTCCTATGTGCTGGCCCAGCAATAGGCCCCTTAGAGCACCATTCCATCAATTCTCCCAAGAGCCCTTTGCAATTGGCATTATTACCCCTGTTTTACAAATGAGGAAATGGGGGGCACTGGTGAGCAAGTTCCCCCGAGTAGTTTTCATATGGACAATTTCCAAGATCCCATCTGACTACCCCACCAGCCTGGGAAACCCACCTTTACTGGAGTGTCAGATAGTCTCCAAAGGGTGCTGCTCTAAAAAACAAATAAACAAACAAAAACAAACAAACCAACTTTGATTTTATGAAGCTGACTGATAAGAAGAAAGCTTTCAGCCTACCAGCTCATTTATCAGATTGGCTAACGGATTCTTTGGAGGGTGTAGAGCGAGTTCTAAGGTATAAGTGGGGCAAACAGGACAGTCATCCCCTTTCTTGTCCATTGGCAGAGCCCACCTCCACCAGTAAGGCAGAGCAATCCTGTAACTCACCTCTTCAGCTTCTCTTGCCTTTCAGAGCAGGCAGGTGGCCAGTTCTGGTCAATGAAATGTAAGAGGATCTTTCCAAAGGGGCTTCTGATGAAAGAAAGTGGTGCTCAAGGAAAGCTCTCTTTCTCTATTTGGTTTCTTCTTTCTTTGCTCTGTGTGATGTGGGGTATCTTGAACTGTTTTTGTGATTATGAGCAACCTTAGCATAAGAGGATGGTAAAGTGAGTGGCTGGATGGAACATGACTTCTTAGTGACACCATTAGCTAAAGGATCAATTTATCTTCAGGCTTTGTTTTTGGTGAGATGATATGTGTTTACTATGTAAGGCATTGTTTATCAATTATTCTGATTTGGGTTTTCTGTTAAGGATTCTCAGAAGGAATTCTGACTTTCGAAATTGTGGAGGAAGACATAGGGGCAGTGACAAATCCTGCGTAATAGCATCATTGGGGTGAAGAGGTTGGAGAAAGACTCGCAAGATGGGGTCAAGATCATCGGGCTTAGGACAGAGGAAGAAGAAGACAAGGAATTCAAATAAAATGAAATCTGCACTTAAATGAGGAGAGACAATATCTGAAAAAAAAAATTATTATAATAGAAGGAGGTCAACTTCTGCAATAGAGAAAATTCTCTGACCATGAGGTTAGTAAGTTTCTCATTGGTCAGTGGAAAGGAATTTGCTTTTATAGGAAGGAGTAAATAGGTTAGACATAACCAAGTGTGGGGCCTCCCTGGTGGTGCAGCAGGTTGAGCGCTGCACTGTAGGGTTGTCCGCAATCTCTGGAGAACGGGTTCGATTCCCGGCCTGCCAGGGAGATTCCCACATGGTGCGGCAGACCTCTCCTGTCTCACCCACTGCTCCCCTCAGCAGTGTCTTTGGTCCGCCTGCCTGTTCTGCTCCTGGCTCTCTCTGGCGAATTCTCTTGCCCTCCCATGCCTCTGATCTGTACCCCAGTTCTTGTATAAATAAATAAATCTTAAAAAAAAAAAAAAAAAAAAAAAACAGAAATAACCAAGTGTGGGGAATGGGAGTAGAGAGACTTGTTGAGGGACAGTTGAATCAGGGGCTGCTTTTCTCCTCTGTCAGCTGCTTCTCTGGGAGGATCCTTAAATTAAGAGTTATTCCACGTTCCAGCACTCAAGGGTAGACCAAAGTTCAGTGACTTGGAGAAATAAGAGAAACCTGATCACATTGGTCAAGTCAACATAGTGGTCATTTAGTTCAGATTGGTCAGTGGGGACCAACACTGCAGCTAAACATTTATGTGACAAAGAATGAAACATGGATGAGCTTTGTCTGACTCTGCCACAGGTTGATAAAAGGGTCATCTGAGGCTCTTATCTAAATCAAATGGCTCTTTGCAGTGAGCCATTTCTTGGAAAACGGAAGTGGGGGGAATGGTTTCTCACTGTAGTTGTTTCCCAAGAGCCTGGGACTCAATAACATTCAACATTGTCAAGGAAGAGACTAAAAAGCTACAATCAGACTTCAGGGCAGAGTCAAAGAGGTCACTGATCTATCCAAATGTCTCGGGCCCCCTACCCCCATGTTTCAGGCACTGTATTAGTTGGTCTGGGGCACACAGGCATGATTTCAGACACGGTTCTCTCGAGATGGATAGTAGGGGAGACAAGATAGGAGCACAAATACCTGCAGGGGGCCTTGCATATCTGTGGTCTGCCTTTCCATGCACTCGGATTCAATTTTCTTTGGGGATCACCTGAGACTCACAACTGCCTGCCCTGCAGCAAGCCCATATGTTCTGGGCATGTTTGCAAAACCCAAGAGAATCCAGAGAGCAGGAGGAGGTTTTCCAGGATTCAAGCCTCAGGTCCCAAATGTGTTCAAGAGGATAAAGTAATTCAATAGCAAACCACCCAACAATTCCTCTCAGAGATGAAGAGATTTTGCTTTTGCTTTCTTTCTCTGAAGGGCATCTGGAAACCCTTACCCGAGTCCTTATACTTTAGTTTCAACATGGGCGGGTATGGAGAGTCTCATCATTCAGGCAGGAAACTGGGTGTCCTGAGAAGTGCAGACACTTCAATTAGGTAACACAGCAGATCATTGCTGAGACCCAGGAAAGTCTTGTTATCTCTTATTCTAGTTTTTGTTTCACAGGCCTTTTACCAATGCTCCAGTTATGGCCTATCTAAAGGTGACTAAAAGCAGGGTTTGGGATGGAGTCATTAAATTTTTCCAGGTAATCCAAACAGAGTAGTTAACCAAGTCCCTGACTTATCTAGCCAAGCAGGACCTGTGGCTGGAAAAATGTTTGGAGATTCTGGACCAAGGGATAATCTACTTGCTTATCATTTAGAGGGTCTTCTCCACAGTGTTTTTGGAGGAACAATAGGTACTTGGTATGCCAATAACACCCCTTCCCCCACCACAAAAGGAATTCATAGTCTGCTAAGTTTGGAAAACATCAATATAAACCATTTAGTCACCTGGGCCTCCCCTGGTGGTGCAGCGGTTGAGCGCTGGGCTGCAAGGCTGCCCGCAGCCTCTGCAGCGCCACTTAGCTCCCCGGCGAGGGTCCCACAAAAAAAAAAAAACAAAAAAAAAACCCCCAAACATTTAGTCACCTATCTAAAGTGACTAAAAGCAGGATTTGGGAGGGAGGTGGGCAGGAAACACAGACCCAAATGGCTGCTTCCCAAAAGAGTGGCGGCAATAACTTGGAAGTCACATTTCAGTTTGCAAAACTGAAATAAAGGTACTGAGCTCTCTGTGTCACTCTTGTCACCCTGGGGCATTATCCTTTGCTGCCCTGAGCGACATATCAGAAAGCATGGGCCTCCATGCGGCTGTCAGATAGCCCGCTGACACTCTCATTCAAATCAATTTTAAAAAGTTTTCGCCAGAAACTTCCTAAGTTATGCAGACGTCCTGGCGTGATACAGGTATTAGACTTGGTGAAGGACACAAGCTGATTGTTAAATCTTCTCCGTACACATGCTTTGCCATAGGTTGTGTGGCTGCCTTCCTTCTCATCCTGACTCCTTCCTCTAGCTCCAGCACCTCAAGCATCATAGCAGCAACTGCTAATTATTTCTCAATATGTATTCTTCTCTTTTTTCTTCAAGGGAATTCTCAAATTTTGGCTGATGATATTATATAGCAGCTCAGATAAAAACTACCTTTACCAAATTCCCTTCCAGCTAGTGTGGCCATACGATTCTTGTCTTGCACCAATGGTATGTGTGCAATTTCTGGGAGTATAGTGAAAAAGAAGCAGCTTCCTTCCTCTTTCCTCCACTTCCTTCCTCTTTCCTCTGTTTGAACATGAATATGATTGCAAGAGTTGGAGCCGCCATTCCGGGCCGTCACATGGAAGGCTTACACCGAGTCACATTTTGAGCAGAGGAACAGATTCTTGACATTACTGAATTACCAAAAAGGCCTAGACTCACTATCTAAAACAAACTTCAATATTGTTTAAGCATTTTGAGGGGAGGAGGTGTCTTTATTATAGCAGTCTAGCACATTTCCTAACTTAAATATGGATACATCTTTAAATCCAGCCAGGGACAATACTCAGGATGGAGAATTAGTGAGCAAGAGCCTGGAAATCAACAAAGAAATTCACCCACTCTTAACTTTTGCTAGTCAAGATTCTTGAAGAGCTGAAAACTAGAGGGGAAAAAACATGTCTCATTGGTGGCATTTGTTAGCTGAAAGAAATATAGAATGGAGAGGTTCTGAAGGAATGAAAGGATCAGGAAGAGAGACTTGACTCTTATTAGCGCTTGTAATCCTGAGTAATTCTAAACTCTTTTGTATTAGCTTCCCCTTCTATTAAATGGAAACAATATTCTTTCCTAGACATTTTGAGAATCAAATAAGACTATCTGTTTTTAAAAAAAGTAATCTAAATAGAAGAGTCAGAAGGTATGGATGAATTTCATCTATCATTAATTTGCTATGTTGCCTTGGATATTGCATGTCTCTGAGCCTGCTACCTCATCTATCAAACAAGGTTATCTCTGAGGTCTTTCCCTGGCCAAATATACCGTGGTTCAAAAAATTAGGGTATGAAATTATAAAGAGAGAATCAGACTTGAAAACAATACTCAACTGGAACCAGTTTGGCACCAATTACTGAGAGTAGATTGTCTGTAACCCTTAACTCTCTAGTCAGTGAGGTAACAATGGCAGAGAAGTAGGCCATTGTGGGAATATTTACACCACAGAAATAGGCAAGCATTCTAAAAAGGGCTTCCCCCACCCTCCATGGAGAGTGGCTTGTAATATATTTACTAACACTACTTACTTCAGTGAAAGGAAAATAAATTCTTTATATATCTTGACACTCAAAGAAGCAAATATAACTAGTAAAACTTGAGATGAGTATGTAAACATCTGCGCTTATAATGTACAGAAGATGGAGGGGGAGGAATTAGAAGTTACCTACTCCTGGATCCCAGGTGCCCTGGTCCAGCTCCGGTTGCAGTAAATGGGCCCCTTGTGGCAAGAAGGAGTTAATACCTCTCCCTCAGTGACCAACTTACCTGGCCTTGTTGTGCTGTTGTTACCTGGGATGCGCCATTTTGTAATTTAATTAAAACTGAAGGCTTGAGATAATGGGCTGGTAGTGCCTGCAGCCCCACCGTGGACCCCTGGGAGTGGGAATAAAGGTCTTCCAGATACCAAGTATCAGGAGCAGTCGTTAAATTTTTCCAGTTAATCCAAACAGTAGTAAACCAAGGCCCTGACTCATCTAGCCAAGCGGGACCTGTGGCTGGAAAAATGTTTGGAGATTCTGGACCAAGGGATAATCTACTTGCTTATCATTTAGAGGGTCTTCTCCACAGTGTTTTTAGAGGAACAATAGGTACGTGGTATGTTAATAACACCCCTTCCCCCACCACAAAAGGAATTCATAGTCCACTAAGTTTGGGAATCATCAACTTTCACAAAGATAAACAGGTTACTTGTGGTAGAGCTTCTCAGAGATTTTTTAACAGCTCAAGTAATGCTTCTCAAATTATCTGTGGTGACACATCAGATCTTTAAATTTCCAATCCATATTTGTTCCTATCATCCTCATGTACAACTTACCATTTATGCTTGCCCACACCCAACCTGAATAAACTCTGTTGAATGAGAAGAGTTCAAGGGTCATGCACCTGGATGTTCTCACAATGGCCAGTTGTAACACACGTCTCTCTGTTTACCCTCAGTTTTTGTGCTTATGTTGTGGTCAGCAACAGTTGTGGTCTATGACACGGTCCCTGGGCCTTACTCTGAGTCACACTGTGCTCACTACCTGGCTGACCCTTCTCTGCATGGATGTGTTTCAGCCCCAGCAGGTCCTCACCTGCCTCCCTGGATTCTCAGTTGGAGCTGGTCACTGAGGAGGGTTTCCAGTCTTTGTGGAAAGCACAGCTCTGTCAGAGCCGGCCATCTGCCCTTGTGTTGATGAGGTGTTTTCTGACTGACCCCAGTACAGCAGAAGCTGAATCTCCAGAGTCCAAACAGGTTTTTGAAATCAAAAGCCAACTCCCCTTGGAAATTGCACCAACTCTGGAGAGGGTCAAATGAGAACCAGACAAGTCCCCTCACACAAAGGAAAACAAAGTGCACACAGGGCTTCCTTTCAGCCCTTCACAGGCTTATCAATGCAGAAAAGCTACAGCAGCCTTCGGGTGGACGTCCATGAAGACTGCTGAAATAGGAAGTCCTTCCCAGGCTGCTGAGACAGTCTCATTGTCTCTGAGGAACAATTTGCCCATTCCCATCCATGGCCGCTGACCCGCAGACTTAGGGTCACATGTGTCTGTTAGACTTGGGCAGCCTCAGCCCGGGCAGAGACGGGGGGCCTGGAGCCATGTCTAAGCTCCAGCACTATTTCTTCAGACCTTGACAAGTGCAAGGCAACTGCCCCGTCCCCTCCCCCTGTCCTTTCTCGTCCTCTCCTCTCTCCCCCTCCCTTTCCTTCTCTTGTGCTGATTTTCGTCATACATCCTCACTGGAAGTCAAGTGTAAATAGAAGGCTCCGACTACCAGGTCAGGCTGCTGCCAGGGTTTCCCCACTCTCTCTGAAATGTTCACTGTCCCTGCCAACTCTTTATTCTGTACCTGTCAGAGCTGGCTCCTTCCAATCTCTAGGTGGACAGATTCCCTCCTTAGTGAACACTACCAGTGACCCGAGAAGCCCTTGGAATCAGTCTGTCTCTTTCCAAGCAGAGACCGTTTCAGCTGGTGTTTTTCTTCACCCTTTCCCCAGTCTGTTGTTGAGTGTAAGGAACTATTTCTTCATGAGGTGGGCCCAGGGTTAGTTATGAGGAAGGAGATGCAGTGGAAGATTCTGTCAGGTAAAGGAATCCAAGGTTGTCCCCAGTGCCATGCCCCCTGGTACATTCCTACCTGGCCCTAGTAGTGATCCAGTTGGGCATTGGGTAGAGTTGGGTTTTAGAGTCTCCCACTTGTCAAATGGTGTCCAGTCAGCACAGGGAGTAGGGGAGGAAGTAAGTCATTTGAGTGAAAATGACAATTGAAACCATAGGAGTCAGGATAGTGATCTCTGAGGCAGGTTGTGCAGAGATGAAGAGAGAGCCCGGGAGGACACCCACGGTTAGTGAGAGGGCGCAGAAATAAGAATATAAAAAGGAGGCCAGGAAAGAGAAGTTGGAGGAGTAGGAAGGAAACGGGGGGAGAGAATCAACAGTTTTGTGTTGTCAAGAGATCGAGAAGGTTGAAGACAGAGGAAAGAAAATGGCTGCTGATGAAGTTGGCTCCCGAGCCAGGTGGCCAGGGACAGTTGCACAAGCTCCTTCATGCGCACCTCCGAAGAGCCACCCATTCTCTGTGGGAATAGTGACCTTCGAAGTTGTGTGGTGTTGGCTCTGGCAAACAGCCCTGTTCATGACAATTTTGTCAGCCAAGGGATGAAGGCAGAAGCCCCATCTTTGGATGCTGAGCTGTGAGTAGAGAAGAGGCAGGAGCCTTAGCCGGTAAAGGTGACCCTTGAAAGAAGTCTGGGAGAAAAAGAAAGAAAAAAAAAAAAAAGAAGAAGAAAGGACCAATGGAAAGGGTGTCAAGCTTGAGGGGAAACATATTTCCCACTTAAGTTAAGGTTAGGGCTTGGAAACTTGAGCACATTTAAGGCAAAGGAAAAACAACAGCAAAGGAGGAGAGACAGCAGAGGAGGGATTGTGGAGAGAGAGGGGAAACTCACCCATTGAGAAACACATTTTTACTGCTGGTCTCCTGAGCATCTTCTATCATGCGCTGGAACGTAACTGGCTACAGACCAGCTCCTGCCTCTCAGTGATCAGTGATCAATCAAAGGGTTGGTTGGGTAGTAGTTGGGTTGGGTTAGATTTGGGGATCAGGGTAGGCTTCTCTGAGAAGGTCACTTCTCAGTTTAGACTAGAATGATGATAAGGGGCCACCCTGTGAAGACCAGGGCGAAGAGCACACTTCCAACAACAAGTGCTGGAGAGGACTCAGGAAGGAGGAAACATGTTATACACTGTTGGTGGGAGTGTGAACTGATGTCGCCATTCTGGGAAGCAATTTGGATTTATCTTCAAAAAACTAAAACTAAAAATACTGTAGGACTCAGCAATTCCACTCCTGGGCATCTATTCAAATAACATGAAACCATCAACACAGAAAAATCATATGAGCCACAACATTCATTGCAATGTTTACAGTAGCTAGGGCCTGGAAGCAGCCTAAAGGTCCATTGCCAGATGATTGGACCAAGAAAATGTGGTAGAGTCACACTATGGAGTACTAGTCCAGTCTAAGAGGAAATGCAACCATTTTCAGCCAAAATGGAGGGAATCTGAGAGAATTTGTATAGTAAAGAAAGTCAGAACAATAAGAACAAATAGACATTTATAAAGCAGAAAATTCGATAAGGTCAAACACTTCCAAAAAACAGAGGCTATCAAAAAAAAAATGCCATGAGCACTCTGAGGTTAAGTGGTGGGGAGGGCAGTAGGGCTATAGGGGATAGAGATGGGGAAAAAATAAAATAAAATAAATGAACTCAAGCTATCTAGACCACAGGAAGTACTGGGGGCTGGAGTAGAGATGGAAGGGGATGGGAGGTGGGGGTCAGGTCACATAGGGTCTCTCAGGGTCTGATGTTTCCATGCAAGAGCTGGAGTGCATGTGACATAGTTTATCTTCTGCTCTAGTCTGGGATCTTCTCAAGGGTCTTATTTTTTCCCCTAGCCTAGGATAGATACAACCTTACAAATGCTGTTTGCTGGGACATTGAATCTTTTGGTATTTCTGAGTCACCTCACCTCCATAGATATCTGCTGCATTCAACTTTCCAGGTAGATGAAGTTGGTGCCATGCCACCCTGTCTTTCTTTCTGGATCCATGCATTTCATTATGGTGCTCCTTCTCCAACTCCGCTGTGCCTGTGCTATTTTTTGCTGCTCAAGCTTCTTGGGTTATCTCAAAAATGACGCCTCTTATTTTCCTGCCTTTTTCTCATTTCCCTGAAATGCCTCCTTTCTTAATGGAGATATTAGCAAAAAGTTAATCAGATTGAAAAATTCTTACTAAGGTGTTAGTGACTGATAAGACCATCACACTCATAAGGATAATTGATTTTGTACAAGGGAAAGGTATGCACCAAAATTAGTGTTGTCAAGTGTTGAGTTTTAAAACTCAGGAGAACAATTTAGGAATGGGAAGCTTCCCAAGATCCCTAATACTTACTGTGTGGGAGCCTGCTTATGCCTAAGGCTGCCTCAGTTACCATCTCTAAAAGGAAAGAAAAGGCAATCTTCCATGTCAACATTCAAGGTTGAAGTGACTTTGCATTCTGAGAGAAGGCTATGGAGCACAGATTGGTTCTGAAGGTACCTTAATGTACGTGATTCAATAGAGGCACTGGGTAGGTGGTAGATTTAGGGGTCAGAATAAGCTTATGACAACCCAGTGCTCACCGTTGTGTTCAGTCCAAAACTAGCCTCTCTGGTTGGGGTTAAAAATTAACACCAGAGAAAAAGATGGAAAATCATTATTTTGTGTATGTCAGCTCATTTACCCTTCACCACAACCCTATGATGCCGGCATTATTGTTGCCCCCATTTTCTGCCTCAGGGATGTTTCGTGACTTTTCCAGGGCCACACAGATGAATCCTAGAAAACTAGGATTCAAACCTAGGTCTTTCTGAATCCATAGCTCTCACCCCCCTATGATGGTGCCAATTGTCTTGCAGGGCATTCTGAGAACTAGCGACCACTCTACTGCTTACAAGGTTTGTGACTTACTTTCTCTTTCTGGACCTCAGTTTTCTTATCTGCAAAATGGGGAGAGACACACAATTGTTTGAGTGTCCTCTTGCCGAGGGTCACCAGGCTGGGTGATCCTTCCTGTAATGTAGATGTCAGCAGTGCCCTGAGAGCTTTTTGCTGGGCTCCTTGGAAGACAGTGAAGACAAGAGGTAGGTCACCTTAGACCAGCATCAAGCAAGTGCAGGGAGACCTAAATGTGACACCCTGGTTTCATTCAGCTAACCTGGAATGCCCAGATGGACAGTCTGTGTACCTCCTTGTGAGCAAAGCTGAGTTTGACTGAGGTTCTCCCGACAGAATCTTCTTCACAAGGCTCTTGAAGCTGCTTCCAAGGGGCCTGAGAGTTTTGGTGTGCTTCTCCTTTCTCCTTTTGAAAGCCAGGAGGTCAGCTTGAGTGTAACTGTGACAGATGAAATCTGCCCCTTGTTTGGAAACACCCTTTTCAAATCTAATCTGAGATGGAATTAAGACAACAGCTCTGGCTTGTTTTCAGGACTGTCATCTGATGACCATCTCCAAGCTCATTTGAAGGAAGTGACACAGAGAGATTTCAAATCAGGGAAATTGGAGACTGGCTCACTCAAATCAGCCTCCTCACCCTTCAGTCAGCAACCCGCAGAAAACCAAATCTTTGGAGTAGGAAAGTGACACAGCGCCACCTCCCGGCAGCTGCCTGGCTGGTTGAGGCCTTTGGTGAAGGGAGGGCTCAGGAGCTGCCCAAAAGCTCTGGGTGGAAGGACCTTGTCACTCTGCTCCCAGGAGACAGGAACAAGGGGGTTGGAGAGTTTGTGAGTTCACAATGGTTGTGTG